AGAAGAAGAAGAAAAAGAAAAAGAAAAAGAAAAAGAAAAAGAAAAAGAAGAAGAAAAAGAAGAAGAAGAAGAAGGATGCAGTGGAAAAGCAGGTGTAAAAGGGGGACTTAAAAGAGGAAGAAGAAGAACCGAAGAAAGGAAGAAAAACAGATCTTGTTTCAAACGATAACAGAAAAAGAACCATAAGTCAGAGAACATCCTTTACTAAAAAAGCAAAAACTTTTACTGCACATGAACTTTCTCATTACGTCACTCATATCGCTTTCGTCCCTTAAAAATAGGTGTAAAAAGGCAATTCAATACTGAATAAACTTTTTTGCTTTATTATGTTTTAACTTTATCTTATTTAATCGTATTATTAATTATGATTATTAAGATTAGTTAGTTTCAGATTTGAAAGAGGCTCTTTATACCGTATTTGATACTGGTTGTATGATTTTATCTATTTTCTGCAAGAACCTCTGACCTGTTCCTTTAAACAAATTATGTTGCAGTGCGGGTTTATAAACCTCACACGAAGCCATGTTTTTCTTTTTTTTTATGATGCGTAAATAAAACAAACCTAGCCTACGTGCCTGCATGCATGCATATCATTTACACAAACATAGATGTTCGGTCAATCTTGGGAAAACATATGTTTGTCCCAAAACATGTAACCGGTTTCCTGCACATTTTGTGTAATGACTTCTGAATTATATTTTGCTGTCGAAATATATCAGTTTTACGTTTAGCATCATACCAGTTGTCGGTGATTAATCCATGTACTTTAATTGTCTTCTGTTACTCACTTGCCCCCTAAGAAATACCATTTGTCTATTATATTTTCATTGTTCCAACGTCTTTTTATCCCTTTTAATACCCTCCCCTGCCCGATTTCATCCCAGAAAATAATTTTTTGTCATTGTTGTTGTCTTTTTTTCTTCTAAGCTAAGTCCGTCTGATTTTTTTCTTTATTTAAGATTTTATTTTATCCGCTTCCTTGCTGTTTCACTCTTTCCGCTAATGTATCTATCCTTCTCTTTTGTCTGTCTGTCTGTCTGTCTGTCTGTCTAACACACACACACACACACACACACACACACACACACACACACACACACACACACACACACACACACACACACACACACATACACACATTACATG